GCGCGGCGCGGCGGGGCCGGCCGGGAGCCACGCGGGCTGCCCGGCGCCCTGCTCGACCCCGCTGAAGAAGCCGCGCCGGGACGGGGCGGAGGAGGACGCGGAGGAGGAGATGGAGACCGGGAACGTGGCGAACCTCATCACCATCTTCGGGTCCAGCTTCTCCGGACTCTTGCGGAAAAGCCCCGGGGGCGGCCGGGAAGAGGAGGGGGGCGAGGAGAGCGGCCCGGAAGCCGCCGAGCCCGGGCAGATCTGCTGCGATAAGCCGGTGCTGAGAGACATGAACCCTTGGAGCACAGCCATCGTGGCCTTCTGAGGGCCCGGCGGGGCCGTGGAGCGTGAGCAGCGGGCGTCCCCCCAGGGAGGGCCGGAACTCTCCCGGCTGCGAGGACGCCCCAGGGACCGCCGGCGCCGTGCGCCCCGGGGAGAGCGCTGGCTGCCGGGCGGCGAGCTCGGCCCCCGGGTTGGGCAGCCCCGCTGTGCCCCGTGGCTCTCGAGTCTCCGCTTGGGACCCGAGTTGGGGGCTCGTAGAAAGTGGACGATCGTTAACTTTTGTGTATGTGTGTGTCCGTGTTTCTGTAAGTTTGTCCTGTTGAATTGAGTCTGTTTTGACCTTCTGGAATGCACCACCCCTTCCCCGAGCTGAAGACCTCGCGGCAGACAGGGACTTTCCTTTGCCGGCCGCTCAGAGAAGGAAGCGGCAGAAAGGTTGGAGGCCGGGGAGTTCCCCATTCGTGCTGGGGGAGGGAGGGACTTTACACACACCCCTCAAACGAAAGCTGGAGCCGCACCCGGCCTGTGCGTTTCCTCCCAGGATTTCCTCAGACTAGGGGGATTGAGTCGGCAGTAAGGACTTGTATTATTTCTCTCTCTCTCTCTCTCCCCATCATTCTCTAGCACAGAAGAAATGTTTAAACCCTATGATTACTCTGGGAAAGGGGAGTATTAAGGGACCGTGGCTTCCCCCCAGGGGAAAAAAGCTTGATGAACTTCACAGAAGAGTTCAAGCTTGGAAATATGGAGTTTATAGAGAAAAATTATATTTTTAAAAGCTGTAGCTCAAAACTACTAAACAGTGCTTTTAAAAAGTGTTTAATGAAACAAAGTTTACAGACAGAAGCCCTAAGTGGAAAGACCTTATGGTTTTGTAGATATAGTGACTCCAGTCTTTGTTGTATAAAGGTTGGGGGAGCTGATAAGGTTTTGTACAGTATTTTCTCCTTCGTTGTATTGATTTTTGTATAAAAATGTAACTTTACGTGTCCAACACGTATTAAATATTTTGAAGCAACTTGCTTGCCTCCTTGTCTGTAATCACCTGCTGGGCTTAGAGGGAAGTGGGAGGAGGGAGACTGAGGCCTGGACTAGAAAATTGACAGTGGTTCTTAGTATCAGTCATGTCCAACTGTGGACTTTTACAGACTTTACTAAGTATCAAGAGATGTTTAGGGTTTTACCCCATCATAGACCACTGTGAGCGACTGCTAATTAATTTCTTGAAACCTGCTCCTGTAGCTACCTTTACTCAGCCAATTTGATTTTTGACAGCCCAATCTGATAAGTGTCTGTTAAAAAAAAATTAAGCATCAACATTTGAAGCCCTTCCTAGCCGAAAAAGTGTTTTTTACCAAACTTTTTTTGTGGGGGTGTGGCATGTTCAGCTGTATACCGTAAATCATCTTTTAGATTTGAAGAAACAAAACGCTATTTAGATAGTAGCTTACTTAGAAGGAGCCTGTTGGGACAGTACATGGGAAGAAGCTGATGAGACCGACCTGACCAAAGGGGTCAGGTGCACCTCTACATTCCACTAGATAGCAGGATTGAAATTTTCCATTTTTATTATTTTACTGATACAGCTACAGGAAGTAAATGCACCAATGAAAGTGAAATTGTGTCAGGCCAGATAAAGAGGCCAAGGAGGGCTGGGTAAATTTCATTTAGCAAAACTTCCTGATTTGCTTTTGTCACCTAAGTGATGACATCAGTGTTTCAGTCATGGTAATAGATGAGGACAGCCAAGTCATTTTACTAAAATTACTGCTTTAAGGAAACTTGGACTGAAGCAAAATGTTCAATATTTGAAAGTTTTCATTCTCTTAGAAGCAAACCAATTAAGACAGTGGTGCTTTAAAATGTGGTTGCCAGTACCTTAAAAGATAGTACCAGCTTATAAGTAAATGGAATGTGTAAGAGATGGGAGGAATTGAGAAAGCTTTAAATAAAAATTGTCTCTAAGCAAAAGGAGCATATGAATGATGCCTTGGCCTTAGCCAAAGTTCCAATTATATGAACTTTTGGCACAGTGGAGTACATCACTGCTTTTCTGCAAATCTGTTAGTGGTTTCTTAAGCATAGGAAACTTATTTTAGTTTATGCTCTATCACCATGATATACATATAGAATAAGACATCTCTAATTAGGGTCTTGTTTAATTGCCTTTTCTTTCCAAGATCAGCTACTTAAATTCTGTAGCTACCAAAGTTCCACTGAGTAGGGACTACTTGAGTTGAACAAGCTATCCAGGGCCCTAATTCTGCAAACATTTTCCTGTTCTTAGAAAGTAATTATGCTTATCCCTTATCTCAGTGCATTTTTATATTCAAAAGGGGGGTAACATTTGGTGTGTTAAAGAGAGCTGTATGTTTTGGAAGAGACTAAAATTGCTGTTGCTCCTTGGTTTCATGTTAAGATCAACCATGGGACCATGTGTCTGCTTAATTTAGAGAATGTAAATTGCCATATCTGATAGAGGGATAAAGCTGTGTAGGAAATTTCTAAAACATCTTTATTATTGCGTGGAACAGGTAGTGTAATGGTTAGAGTGTGGGCTACCTAGACTTTTTTCTTTATCTTCTTGCTGGGACCTTGGGCAAGTTATTCCATCTCTATGCCTTCGCTTTTTCAAATGTAAAATTGGAATAATCATACATACTTCATAGAGCTATGAAAATTGAGTTAATGGCCTTAGGAGGTAATAAACATAATTACGGAATTATCTGTTAATATAAAAGTACTTTCTGTATATAAATCATATACTGTGATAAAAATTATGCATATTTGTATGGCAGGAGAATCTTTTAAAATATCCTACCTGGGAATGCTGTTTTTTTTTAATTCTATTTTTCTCTTGCCACTTGGAAGTACTGGAACTCTGTTCCACCAGCATAGTTTTGTTGCTGTGTGTCTTACACCAGCCTTCTGACTTCCCTGGATTAAATCAAACAATTATTGTCAAGAAGGAGTAAGCAGGAGTGAAAATTCACAAGGAGCAAAGCTCCTGTTGACATACAAATGTGTTCTGTGGAGGCATAAAGAAAAAATAGCTCACAGAGTTATTTTTAGCCTGAATTGCTTAGGCATAGAATATTTCTTAAGCTGTGCTCATTGACGGCTTGGACAAGAGCCTGCTTGGTGCCAAGGTACGGTGAAAACCTAAGTAAATCAGATGATGTGTGATTAGAAACAAAGCCATAGTATTCGTATTAAACCATCTTTGACAGCTCTGGAAAGTTCTCTTAATGAAATGAACAACACCGCTAGGTCTGGATTTTTTTTTTTTTTCTTTTTTCTTTTTAATGCCAAAGACACAACCCAACCAAGCCTTTCCTCCTGCTAGGCAAACACTATACCACTCAGCTACATCCCCAGCCTGAAAAAAAATAGTTGACTGCCATGAAAAAGCCTAATGTTTAAAGTGCTTTTGATAAGTCTTCTGAGATCCATTAATAGGGAACAGAGATTGCAGTGCAGTACTCCACTATGTTGCTGCAACCTTTCCTTCCCTTTCAGAAGCCTGTCAGTTGTATTTGGGAGACAGAACCAATGATGGGAAGCTTGAACTGTTCCTTCAAAATTCACTGGATCTTCTCTGAGGAACCTAATAATATTTTCAGTCTTCCTATCACTGACTAGAATTTGGGATGAGAAGTTTTGAGGGACTAGGTCATTTAATAACTTTGGTGGAATGCATCTCAGAAGAATTATATAGTTACTATTGGGAAAGAAGTTAGTAACAAAACTGTTCCATTTTATCACTGGATTAATGTGAGTCTTATTGTGCAGGACAACCTTGCTTAGAACCTGTGTGAATGGGGTCTGAAGGCTAATACCTGCTGTGACGTGGGCTTTGATGGACACATTTCTTTACGTTTTTTTTTTTTTTAGTAGAGTTATTCAGTTGGCTGAGTAACCAAAGAATTTTGATCTCTTGCCCTAAATATTTTATTCTTGTCCTGTTTGTGAATTTTTTATTCGCCTGGGCTCACTTTTATCCCAGCAGTTTCTGAAAGAAAATAGGAATGAAAAGAAATACTGATCCACCCTTCCCTTAACTATGAAAGAAGCCCTTACTATGAGGTGTAGTGTTCCAGTGAAGAGTGAGGTCGACTTCCTAGGATTCCTGGCACTCTTTCCAGTAATGAGCAGTTTGTCTCTTAGCCTTTGAACCGTTGTTCAAATTTAAAATTCCACCCAGTGGAAAGCCTTAGGAGGAAGAACACAGTAGAAAACAGTTGTTAGGAATCAGTACAATCTTAACTCATACCTTGAAGAGTTTTTCAGTCATGTTTCTTGAGGCTACAATAATGAATATTAAAGAGCAGAAAGTATAAAATACACAGATCTAGTTGAATGCTTCCTTCTTGACCCAAACTTTTTCTCAACATCTGCCACCCCCTCTCCTGCAATGGGAATAGGGCTGTAAAAATAAAACTCCTCTCTAGCAACTTCTCTCTCTCAGGGGAATACAGCCTAAAGCTTTTTGGCTGGACTGCTTCCTGAGGTTTGCTTCAGACCTTCGGAATCTGACAGGCAGGGAAAAAGTCTGCAGGGACTGCATCCCCATAAGGGCCTTTCCTCTCCCCTGCTCTACAGATCAAGAGTAGCCTCCAGCACTGGATACTGCCCACTCCTGGGCAGCTAGCAAGGTAATGGCAATTAGTTTCAGAAGCTGCAGGAAGGAGGGCTGGCCCCTGTCTCTGCCAATGAACGTCTTTAGCAGGCGATTCCTTTTGGGGGTCTGGTTTAGAATAGGCCTGTGATGTGTGTTGGTAGATCTATTTATTGAGAGTTTGATATAATACAGTACCTGGAACCTGGTCACAAGAAGCTTCTAGACCTGTATAATAACTCATATTTCTGATTTATATAGTAAAGATGAGAATTAGCTGTGTCTTTGCCATTCATTTAGCACAAAGTCAGCCCTGTCCCCAGCCCGATTCTTCCTGTCAACTGGGGTACTTCCAGGTATCCCAACTCTGCTCATCCCGCTAGATGCCACAGGAAGGCTCCTTCCAGTTTTTCTAGAATTCAGAGATGTGCTAAAAACCATGTGTTCTCACCTGCTTATTCTTTAATCTATTCTACCTCTTAAATCTTGGGGCAGGGCAGCAGCTGGGTACTTGTCTCAGAGGTTAAAAACCCACAACACACAGGTAAACATCTGTTTCCACTGCCAGTCTGTGCTCTCGCCACTCACAGTATGAAACTGCCTCTGAGGCACAGGACTTCTCATGGCTGCTCCATGATGGATGCCTTCTTGCTTCTAGAATTCCATCCATTATGAGTATTTCTCCAAGTTGATTCACACTATTGGCTATCTCTAGCTAGTCACTGCCATCCTGGCTTCTGTGCCATAGGTATTTGTATCAGTGTTCTAGCTCTTTTGTCTTTCCACGTCTGTTTGTCTGAGACCCTGGGGTCTTTCTAAATCTCTCTTCCTTCTGAGGAAACTCACTTTTACTTTCCCTGGGGACGAATCTGACTACTCAGGAAAGAGCTACAAAGAAAGCAAAAGATCTGGATTTCCCGATGGATGGCGAGACTCACAGAGGCTCCAGAAACTTTGGGCCCTAGAGATTTAAGCCCTGGCTGTGGTAGCTGGAAATCGTCCTCTCTGTGTCTCATCAGGCCCCAACTTCCATCACAGCAGGCGAGGGTGGTAGGGGAGTATGTGTACTAAAATCAGGAGCAGCATTCGAAAGCCAACTGGCCTGTGGCAGATGTAGGAAACGAAAGGCAAAGCCGGGGGACTCCAAACGTGATCAGCAAGGCGTTTTTGCTCCCCTTCCTTTGCTGGGACTGCACGTGCTGCTGTCTAGAACACATAATGAATCACAGAACCCCTCAGATGCAGAAGCCCAAAAGTGTCTTCTTGCCTTGTTTTCCCCCTCTAGCCTTTGGTTAATGACCAGAGACTCTTGCAATGAGTTGCTGGAAATGGGAAGGGAGAGCAGTTATTTGGTATCAGGCAACAGAGATGTCCAGCAGGACATGAGCTCAATGCTTTTG